TTTTTCACAGCCCCCTGCCTCCTATTTATAGGCAATCTGACGCACCCGGAACGGCCCGTACTGATTTCGGAACGGCCCGTTCCGGAACGTTCAAATATGCGTAAAATTCTCAACTGGAACGGCCCGTTCTAATATCGGAACGGCCCGTTTTCAAAAAGCAGAACGGCCCGTTCTGAAACCAGAACGGCCCGTTCTCAATCTCAGCAGAACGGCCCGTTCTCCCTCCGGAACGGCCCGTTCTCCTTGTTGGAAAGGCCCGTTCTGGGCCCGTTCTCAACTTGAAATTTCAGTATATTTTTATTGCTTGGAACGGCCCGTTCCAATTTTGGAACAGCCCGTTCCAAGTTATCCTTTTACCCCTCAAACTTTAATAAAATTGCGAAAATGCCATTAATAATAAAATTATAAAAATACCCTTATTCCTTTATTAAAATTACAAAATGTCATTAATTACAAAAATACCTTTTAAAAAAAATTGGAGTGTTACATATAACATTGTACACTCGTACATATTATGTATAAATCCAACCAAATTATTTAATTTTTTGATTTATATTTTTATGCAGGGGATTATCTGGGGGAAGAGTTTCGTGCTTGAAACCATTGAACTTTGACTACTTTGAAAGTGATATGGAAATGAGGTAGTGGAATTTAGTTTTATTTTATTAGTATGATTATCTTGTTTCACGCCCGCACAAATGTGAAAGTAACATAATTGCTAAATATTTTTGAGTAGATTAAAGGCACAATGTTATAAAATTTGTAGTGGAACAAGAAAACGAGTTAGGAGAGAGTGGAAAGTAAGTAAGGTTTGAAAATGCATCTTGAGACAGATATAGAATATCCCCTTATGAGGACGCAGCATAGTTAATAAATATTGAGCTCCACTTGCAGACGATATGTATGGCATACTAGTCAATCATAGACAAATTCCACTCAGCCACTACCGGCCGCCCCTTCCAACAGAATACAAATACAAATAATGGCATTAGCATATTGTCCTTATACTTGTCATTTGTCAACATCTCGCCACTTTCTCGCTTCTTACTTTGGCTTTCCTGGGACATGGTCAATGGATGGCATTGCCAAGGATCCTAAAGACTCCATTTTTACCTTCTCATGACACAGGAAAGACCATCATCTTCCATCTACATGGTTTCCAAGTTCACAGTACTGTTGCTTCTGTCTGGGTTCCTTTTTCTTGTTCAAGCCTCCTCGTGCAACCAACTGGACAGAGAATCGCTCTTGGCCTTCTCCAGGAACATATCCACGCCCTCCCCTCTCAACTGGTCTGCTTCTGTTGATTGCTGTTTGTGGGAAGGCATTCAGTGTGATGGGGATCTCAGAGTCATACATCTTTTGCTACCATCCAGGGGTCTCACTGGTTTCATCTCCCCATCTCTCACAAACCTCACTGCTCTCTCCCACCTCAATCTCTCACATAACCGATTATCTTCTAATCTCCCAAACCAATTTTTCTCACTTCTCAATCACCTGCAGGTTCTTGATTTAAGCCACAATCGTCTCTCTGGTGAATTGCCACCCTTTGTAGCTGATATCAGTGGCAATAATACTATCCGGGAGCTGGATTTGTCTAGTAACTTATTCCACGGAACACTCGCACCTTCTCTCATACAGCACCTGGCAGGAGGGAGTTTGACATCTTTTAATGTTAGTAACAATAGCTTCACAGGTCAAATTCCCACTTCTCTCCTCTGTAGTAACCTCAGTAGCTCGTCCTCTCTCAGATTCCTGGATTATTCCTCCAACGATTTCGTTGGCGTGATCCAGCCTGGATTAGGAGCGTGTTCCAAGCTCGAGAAGTTTCGAGCAGGTTCCAATTTTCTGTCGGGATCCCTTCCCGGTGATATTTTTGATGTTGTTGCTCTCACAGAAATCTCGTTGCCCCTCAATAAACTCAGTGGAACCATTGGTGCGGGCATTGTTAACCTTACCAACCTCACAGTTTTGGAGCTCTATTCCAATAATTTTACGGGGCCCATTCCCAAGGATATTGGTAAGCTCTCCCAATTGGAACGCCTACTCCTTCACGCCAATAATCTAACTGGTACTCTGCCCACATCTCTGATGGACTGTGTCAATCTTGTCATGTTGGATATAAGGCTCAACTCCTTGGAGGGAGACCTCTCAGCATTGAATTTCTCCGGACTCCTCAAACTCACAGCACTTGACCTCGGCAACAATAGCTTTACCGGTATTTTACCACCATCCCTTTATGCCTGTAAGTCACTTAAAGCATTAAGGCTAGCATCTAATAAGTTTGAGGGACAGATCTCACCTGACATACTTGGACTTCAGTCTTTGGCTTTCCTATCTATTTCTACCAACAACCTCAGTAATGTCACTGAGTCTCTCAAGTTACTCATGGAACTCAAGAACCTTAGTACCCTTATGCTCTCCCAGAATTTTTTCAATGAAATGATGCCAAATGATGCCAACATAACAAATCCAGATGGATTCCAAAAGATCCAAGTTCTAGGCTTGGGTGGTTGTAAATTCACCGGCCAAATACCACGCTGGCTTGTTAATCTGAAGAAGCTTGAGGTCTTGGATTTGTCCTATAATCAAATTAGTGGTTCAATTCCTCCTTGGTTGTACACACTTCCTGAGCTTTTCTACATAGACTTGTCTTTTAACCGCCTCACAGGAATATTTCCAACTGAGCTCACAAGGCTTCCAGCACTTACATCACAAAAGGCATATGATAAAGTAGAAAGGACTTACCTGGAGTTACCCGTATTTGCTAATGCCAACAATGTTTCTCAGATGCAATATAATCAGATTTCCAACCTACCACCAGCAATATATCTGGGAAACAATAGTCTCAATGGCAGTATCCCTACAGAGATTGGCCAACTTAAAGTCCTTCATCAGCTGGACCTTAGCTACAACAAATTCTCTGGCAACATACCATCAGAAATTTCTAACTTGATTAATTTAGAGAAGCTATACCTCTCAGGAAACCAACTTTCCGGTGAAATTCCCATTTCACTCAAAAGCTTGCATTTTTTGTCTGCTTTCAGTGTGGCATACAATGATCTTCAAGGAAAGATACCAACTGGTGGTCAATTTGATACTTTCCCCTCTTCCAGTTTTGAAGGAAACCCTCAGTTGTGTGGTTCGGTTGTTCAGCGCTCTTGTGTCCCTCAACAGGCTACTACTGCACGTGATCACAGCTCAAGCAAAAAGTTGATAATTGGATTTATCATTGCAGCCTGTTTTGGCACTGTTTCCTTCATTTCAGTGTTGATAGTGTGGATAATATCCAAGAGGAGGATCAATCCAGGTGGAGACTCTGACAAGATTGAACTAGAATCAATTTCTGCCAACTCTTACAGTGGGGTTCATCCTGAAGTTGACAAAGAGGCCAGCCGAGTGGTTCTGTTCCCTAATAAAACAAATGAAATCAGGGAACTTACCATATTTGAAATATTAAAAGCCACTGAAAATTTCAGTCAGGCAAACATAGTAGGATGTGGGGGGTTTGGTTTGGTTTATAAAGCAACGTTGCCAAATGGAACTACTCTGGCCATCAAGAAACTTTCAGGAGATTTGGGTCTTATGGAAAGGGAATTTAAAGCAGAGGTAGAAGCTTTGTCGACAGCACAACATGAAAATCTGGTTGCATTGCAAGGCTATTGTGTGCACGAGGGCTTTCGGCTTCTCATATATACTTACATGGAAAATGGAAGTCTGGATTACTGGCTGCATGAAAAGGCTGATGGTCCATCTCAACTTGATTGGCCTACTCGACTGAAGATTGCACAAGGTGCAAGTTGTGGATTGGCTTACATGCATCAGATATGTGAACCACATATAGTGCATCGTGATATAAAGTCGAGCAATATACTCCTTGATGAAAAGTTTGAGGCGCGTGTTGCTGATTTTGGGTTGGCCCGGTTGATTCTTCCTTATCATACTCATGTTACAACTGAACTTGTAGGTACATTAGGTTACATACCCCCAGAGTACGGACAAGCATGGGTCGCAACTTTGAGAGGAGATGTCTACAGCTTTGGGGTTGTGATGCTTGAGCTGCTCACTGGGAGGAGGCCTGTAGATTTAAGCAAGTCTAAAATGTCAGGGGAGTTGGTTGCCTGGGTTCAACAAATGAGAAGTGAAGGAAAACAAGATCAAGTCTTTGATCCTCTTCTGAGAGGGAAGGACTTTGAAGAGGAGATGCAGCAGGTTCTTGATGTAGCCTGCATGTGTGTCAACGAGAATCCTTTCAAGAGACCAAGCATCAGAGAAGTTGTTGAATGGCTGAAGAATGTAGGATCATCCAACCAGCAAATGAATAAAGACTAGAGATAAATGTTTGTCCTTGACAAATATTGACAATAGATATGTATACTTGCAAAAAATTTGCATTTCAATATACATAGAATCACTTTTACCACTGTAAATGATGACTCTACCTACCAGACTTATTTAGTAATTAGATTTTGATAATTATTTTACGTGATTGTCTATATTACACAGAAAAACTTTCTACACGAAGAATTAGCATCATTTCTTATGCATAGAGTATATAGTATACCTCATGCGACTAACTCTTTCTCTTAACTCAATACAACATCCGAACTCCACAAGCCTTTGTTATGTGACTTATGACATATTTTACATTTCAATCTTAATGTTGCGGCACTGCAACTTACTGAATTTAGTTGTTATCGTTCACTTTATTAAGGTCAGACCCTTTTTATTTGACAGAATAGTGTAGTTTAAGTTAATGAGGAAAACCATGCCAATATAAAGTTATATTTCAGGCCATTCAGTACAAGAGCATTTGTTTGATTCTTTTGGACAAATTATATTGTTGACACTTGAAACTATGCATTCAAGAGTAATTGAACTGAATGATAACTGATGTAACAAATTTCATGTCCTATATATCTTGTAAAACAGAAAAATGCATTTGCATGCTATTAACTAACATGAATATATACTAAACTTGACTTATCAAACTGAAGCAAATTTCACATTCCATTTGGTTACTTTTGTTACAAAATGAAATGCCACAAATCCTCAGACAAAAAATCAACAATGAAATTGATGATTAAAACAAATGACAGTTTATAAACCCTTTGCCAGTTTTATCTCACCTGCCTGCAGTGTTTCTGTAATAATATATGCCAATGGTGTTGGTTATGCGCTCAGTCATATATCCTTGCTTAATATGGTCACACTAGGACAGGTTCCTTCCAAGTTTCAGCATACGTCCTTTCAATTTAAAACAATCAATAAGATTTTCCTTTTACTTTTTTTTGCTGTCTAATAATAATAAAAGTACGCAAAAAGACTTAAGAGATGAACGACTCAATGGTGGATAAAAACGACATTTTTATGGGTTTTTTTTTAAAACTTAAAAATGTTTAGGGTATAATTTTGAGAAAATGCGAGGGGTATGATGCAACAGAAAAACATAGTGGAAGTTAATTGAAGATACAGCAAGAATCAAAGACGTGCATGATTAGTTATTGACTATTGAGTATATGTATGTTTTTTGACCCATGAGTGGAAACAAGGAAGCTGGTTGTCAAATAGTTCCATTGAATTTGAAAATCATATGAAATTAACCAATAATCAAATAACATTGTGCCATAAATATTGGAATGATGCGTTGCATTTTTTGTATACGAAAGAAAAAAAGCAGAGTGAAGATACGAACCGCATTGAGTAGATGTAGAACCCCACAAGCTCAGACTCAGGGGCAAACCAACAAGACAATAACAGAAAAATGATATATTTTTAAAATGAATTTCCTGAAATAAACTAACTGGAAAAATACTACTATCAAGAGCCATGGCTTCTGGGTTAATAAAATTAACATTTTTTTTTAATCTAATTTACTTTTCGTAAAATGTCATTAAAAATGTTATTTTAATAATTTAACCTGTTTTTATGTATTTCCTTAAAATAAAAGCATCAATTATCATTTATATTTTTTTAAAACTAAAATTATTAATTTGTATATTTTTTTTTAACATTATAACTTTCTCAAATATTTTAAAAAGTTAAGTTTAAGTTTATTACTTTCGGTCCATTTAATTTATTTAAGATCTTATTTAAGAAGCTCTTATATAATAAGAACATGTATTATAGATGTTTAAAATTTAATAATTTATTACATTTGGATATAAATATTAAATATGTATTTGTATTCTTTTAATTATAAGAAAAATTATTTTGACCGAAATTAGATTTGGTCTATTATAGTATTATAGATGTAAAAAAATGTGGTTGAAAAAGAAGTTCCACTAAAAGATAGTTAAACTAGTTAAAATTCTTAAATACTTTGCATCAGTTTAAAAAAAAAGGTTCATTTTAATTATTTGTTCACTTTATTTTCTATTTCTATTTTGTATATAAAAAAAAACATTGAATTAAATGTCATTTCGTATATCTTGGGCTTAGTATTTTCTTTTATCAACAAGTTTTATTTAATATGTTGATTATTTTATATTTTGAAAAATTAAAATATAAAAACACTTTTTAATTATATATTTTTTTAGTTTCAATATTTAATGATTTTCGGTTTTTAAATTTGAATACGAAATCTTAAATCTTTAAAACTGTATTCTTCTTGATACAATCTCGTTTGGTATTCACATGTTTGATTGGAAACTTTTGTAAGCCATTCATTCTAAAATGTAAAATTCTCATTAACAGGAAGAAGCGATACAATCACTGTATAACCAAAACAAATTGATACGTAGAGAGAGATGGAGTATGGAGTTTCCCTAAATCTTCACACACACATCTGATGAACACTCACGATTAAAAGTTTACAAGTTGTTTGGCATAACATACAACATTCAAACATTTGCACAGGGATTGTCCAAGAGGAAAAAGGGTTTGAGGAGAAGAGTAGTGTGAATGTAACATAAGAAGTTTCCTTTCCCTGTGAGACCCATCCCATTGGGTCAAAAAGAGAAAAACAGGGAAAGAGAATGATAGGCAGAGGAAAGCAACCCAGGGTTGGAGGATTGAAAAGGGGAAGAGTTTAAGCATAACAAGATACATATATTGTAAGAGTAAGAGAAGGTGAAATCAAAAAATGGGTTTAACATTAGTTTGAGTCATCTCCTTGGATATACCAACAGAGAAGCATGGTGGCACAGCGGCGCAGGATGTAGAGACGAGCACGCTGCTCCTTAACCAAAGAAGCACACTTGTTGCTAAAACCATGTCGCTTTCTCTTTCCACGGGTCTTAGCTCCTTGCTTCTTGTACTCTTCAACCTCACCCATGTACGTCTTAAGATATCACTATCAGTGTTTTTCACACTCAAAAAAAAAAAGCTCGCAACAGAGCTTGAGGGAGTAGGTGGAGGAAACAGAGGAACCTATTATTTATATATGTATGTATCATGTAGTGTTGACTAAATGGAAGAGTATAAAGGAAGTGAACGTGGGGAGGATTGCATTGCAGCATTCAGAGGATGTAGGGAGGGGGAATGAATGTGGTTTTCCTCATGCAATAAAATACTTACTTAATTCCCTTGCTTGTGTTACCAATACCAATGTAAATTAAACTAATGAGTTCATGATTAAAAAAGTGGCAAAGGTGAGCATGAAAATAGGGTCACTGCGGAGTGTGTTAGCCTTAGCCATGGGAACATGGGCCCTCAGATGGATTCTACCTTCTCTCACGTCACCTACTTTTAACAACCTCTTTTTATTTATTTATTTTTCGCTTCTAATTATTTACCCAAATGTATTTGCTAAGAAATTTGTCTATTAATTAATGACAGGTTGTTAGTTCAAGAACAAGAAATGTCACCACTCACGACCCGATATCTTTAGGATGAATCTTGTTTAGTTGGTAGATAGAATATGTTCCTTTGTGAGAAGTACTTATTCAATTCTTGGAGGTTAATATTGGACCTGATCTAGTCCAAGATCTTTTCATTCTTTTGGTGAGTGACAAACATAAATCAGGGTTCTGCTTAACCTGGTACCTGCTAGAATATATACGTAGTTACTTATGCTTGGAACTTGTTACAGTGTCAAGAATATAACATTTACAAGAAACTTTTATATGGTACGTGCGATCATCAGGTGTTCATAGCTTGTCAATTTCATCAAATATGTGATAAAAAAAAATAAAAATAAAAAGATGATAAAACTTGGCTACGTGTTACATGAAAATTGACCAAATTAAAGCCTGAACTTGGGGTTGTTCGTATCATGCAATAATTTCTTGACGTTTACATGTAGAAAGTGAGGGGTGAAGGATATGCAAAACGATTGGTAGATGCCAAGTACTTGGGCTCATTGATAAATTCTCAAATCTTATTCTTCAGTTTTAATTGGTGGAGGTTTCCATTCCAGCTTTTGATGACAATACAAAAGTTTGGATTCTAAGCATAATATTGAGTAGGATCTTTCTAGGATATCATTTTTTACCTTGAATAGATATATTTGATTTGGTGCTGAGATCAAGATTTATTTTTTTTCTAATTTAGCATTAATTTTTGCTGGGTCAAATGCAGATGGCAAATGTGATCTCGATGTATAGAAGATATGGTTCCATTTCTGCATGCATAGTGGTACCCTTGAACGTAAGGAAGCTTTTATATAATTCAGGTCCCAGTTTTTATTTTCAACGGCATGTAAACTATTATATTATCTGCTTATTAAGTAACTAATTAGTAGTATTAATTTTCATTAGTTTCACCATTTTGCCCTTTATTTCTAAAAAGTACACTCAGTAGTACAGATCCTTTTTGGTGGTGATTCGTGAAAATTCAAGTGAAAAGCTTAGTTGTCTTTGGTGGCCTCCCACTGCTGCTGAATACGAGGAGAAAATAAGGACTAACATGCCTTTCGTCTGTTACAAGGACTGAATTCTTAATTAATCCTTTATGGCATATGCATCTCCATTCAGTGTACTTCCAGTAGTGTGTCACAAGCTTCCCAATAGTTTTCAACTAGAGTAAATTTCAAGCAGTACGGATGTTCATTGAGTTTTGAGTTTTCTGTTTCTAATATCTAGAGATAAGAGTGCCTCGAGTTCGTTCCTAAACAAATGCTTATACATGAAAATGAGAGAGAAAGAGGGATCTTTCTTCAATGATTCAAGCATTTGTATTTGTGTTGTGTCCATCTAATGCTCTCTACTGATCGACTTCTGGAGTAGTAATTTTCTATGAAACATTATTTGCAGTTTTTCCCATTAAATATTTAATAATTTTGAGTGAGCCGATACAATTGAGACGTAAAGCATTGGATTACAATCTGTCACTATTTTGTATTTTGAGAAGATATGTCAATCCATCCAAGTTCTAAATTACTTTGAAATGAAAATTAGTGTTAATATTAGATTAAAAGACAATTTTAGTATTTTTTAGAGTATAAGTTTTAATGATAATAAATTAAAATATTTTTCAAAGAGAAAAATCTTTCAAATCATACTATTAATAGATTATAGTAATTGATTGGTTATATTGACATTAAGTTTCTTAGAAAAACTACTTTATCTATAAGACAAAAATATTTAATATATGTCATTTATGATACTTGTAAC